TCCCATCCAATAAGGATAAAATATCATTGTTTATAGTGGGAGGGGGAGGGGGAAATACTGGTAATATGTTCACATATTTCTAAACATAAGCTCGTTCAATGTATCATGAATCATGCGATGGGATTACTGTTCGAACATTGCTGTGTATGTGTGTGTGCGTATGTCTGAAGTGCTATATAGGCAGAAAAAATCGTGAACTTGAATGACTAAATTAATGGTTTCAACATAGAACTCTGCACGGAAGTGCAGAAGTTCAAATTACCACATTCCATGTACCACACAAACAAAGAAATAAAAAAGATTCAAAAGAACAGTAATAAGCAGTATAGAAAAATGCGTTAAATGGACACTCCTTTCACTGCCAAACAAACAATTCCATAGTACCTATCGGTCAATGGATTGGCATGCCGCCTTCAGGCAATTGATGAACTCGAATAGCCTAGTATATAGCGTTACTCTGTTCCAGTTAGTGAATCTGTATGTTTATATCAATCTGACAGATATACACTATACATGTCTAATTTCTGTTTAATTAAAGGATAGAATTAAAATGAAACGAAACTCCAGTGTAAGCATACATAACACTATAGTCTTTTATGGAATAGTTAACATTTATGTTGATCATTGTTGTCGGTCTTTTGACTAGAGGTCTACAGTCTAGCGGAAATCACTGTTTGACGATATCAGTGACAGTTTTGTAGATAAATATTTCACTTTCAGTATAGATTTCGTTATGAACCAAAATCAGTTAGAGAGATTAGTGAAAACCAAGGAGCGCTGAATAGTTGTTTCGTCTTAGTTTGGGACTCACTGGCAGTACGCACCCATGACCTGATCAGACATCGAACTCGGGGGGACACTTAGGTTCCCAGTCAAACCTCGTTGATCTCTCAACCACTCCTGCACCGGAATTCAGTGCCGTGTTAATTCTAACTTCTGTCCAGTCCTCTCTTGTTTTCAATGACCTCTGTAACTGAACTGGTGTTATAAGTTAATTGGTTGGTGGTGACTAGCATTCGCATTTCGTCCTATCCGGAACTCGTCAGATGGATGTGCCTACCTGCATTCCGCAGTGAGTGATGATGTTCATGATGTTAGTTCGTGACAAAATTTGCATTGAAATTAATCCGAATCCCAACAGTCTAAATGCATAATCTAAATAGTTTACTTGTAGTTCACTGTCCTGCGCTGTTTTTATACTTGTACTTTGAACAGTATTGATTAATGTCATTGTTTTCTTCATTTACTACTTATTTTACTGTGGCGGTTAGAAGTGATACCACCCACTGTGTTGACTTTGGAACCAGCAATTTCGGGTTCCTGATGCTTTCCTCGCCTAACCTATCCCTTATATCTCTAATTGCGTTAATCCAGCCATAACATGTGCCTAGCCTAACTCTAACCTTAATCTTTCCCTGACCTAAAATCATTCAGATATCATCGTGCACTTCATTTAGCACACTTCTTTTCATGAATGTAGGTGTTATTTACCTAGTTTCACTACCTTATTCAGATAGAACGTCTCAAGGTATTACCTCTACATTTGCGCCTGTTGGGTGTCTAAGCTTTAATTTTGGCCGTTATATGAATGTGCTAACTGACAGACATCTTTAATGTATTATCGTTTTCATTCGGAATACTATTGTCTCAACGGCTAAAATGTTTGCTCGGAACAAGTTTCTCAAACTCCTCCACTCTTGAACCATGTATTATAGTCGCCTCAACCGGGATGGGATATGACGGGATTTGAACCCTTGACATACTGGGTGTGAATAAAGCTCTAAGAGCCACACATCTAATGCAAAGTTGGTATTCACTATTAAGTTATGTATCCTTGGTGAGAGCTGTCAGACAGAAATAGACGTCAGTGTTTACGTCCCAAATCTCAACAACCAATCACAGCAGACTTAGCGTGGGCGGATACGACTAGCAGATATATCAACAGACTGCCTAAGAAACGGTAACCGAGAGATGACAGAATAACCTTCAGCAGAAAAACAACCAATCAGAAAACGTTACTTCTCTGCTAAAATAACGAATAATAATGTACGTGAAAATCTATAAATATCTCTTGATTTTCTCGAGAAACGATCTGTTGCCTGGTCCTTGTCTTCTGTCGTTACATATCGACTTATGTTGAAATATAGACTGTGCGTTACAAAAACAAACCTTTGTGTAGATATCATTATCTTAGTATGGACTATTTATCTCAATATCTTTATTAGGTAAAATAGCCCGTAGCTATTTGTTTCTCTTACTAAGTCGACACATTTTCTCTCCTAGCATATCATCAAACTTTCTGTAGATGAATTTTTCACAGTTATGTTATTTGTGTTAAAAAGAATATACGTTAAAAGTTAAAGTGCTGACATTGTCTTGAAAAAATATTGAATTTCTGCAAATCAACACGTGAAAATTATTCTGATGTTCACTGGTGACTGGTTGCACACACCGAGTTATCTGGAGCTCTAGTGAGAAGCTATCACCAACAGGGGTCCACAAAGCCAGGTAAGAGATCACTTGCTCGCCTATAACATTGGCTGTTGAGTTGCGCTATTTTTATAAAGAGAATTAGCAGAAGTCGGAATTCATGAATCATTGGATTGGGTCTGTCTGCGTGTCTGGTTTCAACATAGAACATTGCACCGGTGTGCACCAGTTCGAGTTGCCACACTTCACTCACCATACAAAGTAAGAGAAGAAAGTAAAAAGAAACGCAAAATAAAGACAGTAAACAGAGATATGAGGCAAAAAGAATGGTAATATCAAAGAACAATATAGTTTTATTGGGTATTATAAGTCACAAGGAGTGGATTTATTTGCGCCAGCCATTGACAACGATTTTGAGCCAGCCATATCACCAATTGTCTCCCGTCACTGCTTCTTACCGTCCTGCGGACCTCAACCAGGAAGTCCACAACTCCCTACCCAGTTGACTTAAACTAACTGTTGTGGATTTCATTGATTGATGAAGCCATGTTTTGGTTTGCCCATCACTAGCTCTGTCTTTTCCAAACTGACCCTGTGTCAGCTAACATTGCCCGTCAAGGAAAATGATGGTTAGGCATGCATGCGTAAAACATGTCCTAACCATCTCAATCGATGTAACTTCACGACCTGGTCTATTGATGTCCCCTCTTCGCCTAGTACTCGACGCCTAACATTGGATTGGGTCCCAGTAGCTCAATGATGCACGGTCCAAGGCGCAAACCTCAGTGAGTGCATATTGCCGAAGAGTCGCAAAATAGGACGAAACAGTTGTCCAGTACTCCTTGTCACTTCTCTCAGTGGTTCTCTAACTTATGTCAACTCATGACCTAACTTGAAATTATCTAACAATAACACCCTCTATTCTTTGTTTCTTTAGTCCTATCTGACTGGCAGCTAGGATGGGTTGTGTTCTTGCGATTAGTTTTAACGGGGATCGACTCCATTTATTTCTCTCTCTCTTGTTTGCTGGTAGTCGGTTGGTTTTATGTAAACTTTTTTGAGTTCCGTTTACTTTCATTTACTACTGTAACGATAGAAGACAAGGACCAGGCAACAGATCGTTTATTGAGAAAATGAAGAGTTATTTGTAGGTTTTTATGCACATTATTGTTAGCAGAGAAGCAGCATCTTCTGATTGGTTGTTTTCCTGCTGAAGGTTATTCTGTCATCTCTTTGTTGCCATTTATTAGACAATCCGTTGATATATCTGCTAATCGTATCCGCCCACGCTAAGTCTGCTGTGATTAGTTGTTGAGTTAGTCTTTGTTCTTGTTGTTTTCTCATGACCAAGATATGCGATGTAAATATTGATGTAAATTGCTGTCTACCAGTTTTGGCTAGCAGACAGCTCTCATCACACTGCCATTTCATGCTAGTACTTTGGAATTATATTATTATTATTATTCCGTGGTAAATATATTCAAGGAATCTTAAAGTTCTCTTATACGTGTATATATATGTATGTATCATTTATTCCCCCTATTTCTTTTAGTCTCGTAAAAATGCTGAGAAATCATCTACCTATGAAAAACCATTCCGTTTGCCTACAAATCATGTTTTATTTACTCGATTGAAAACAATTCTTATTTCAACAATATCTCAAGCGAAACAAGTACTTTGGATACCGACAATGGAACAGGTGAGTATTTGAATATATACATAATAGTGAATGAATTAGTGTTACTAACAACACGACCGGTAGTGATTCCTCAATTGAAAGATGAAGTACCTACACTGGTCACTTCTAATCGTATCTACCAATCCAACTGCGTTTGTGGTGGTGTGAGTTATATGGGCCGTTACTCCAAGAACTTGGTTTTTCGTGCTCCCTTGGGAACATCTATCAGCGTGGCTGAATAAAGGTGTAGTTAGAAAAATCAATAGCTTCACACTATAACACCTGGTTCAAACCGGCCACAAAGCCAATATTGAAGAGTCCTTCTCTATCATCTACCGGGTACCGCATGCTCCAAACAGCAGAGGCTATCGTGGTTCGCTTGAAACAACCAGTGCTTTGTGTGCAAAAGAAGCAAGTCCAGCCACTACTACTGCTCTGGCCTTTAGTGGAGACTAAAAATTCATGAATTTGTATTATTATCTTTCCTAATTTCTCTGTCTGATATTCAGTGTGTACTGTTATGTTGATGCTATCGAACTGTAATCCATTGATATTATTATTATTGATTCGATGTTATTCAAACACAACGTTAATGTTGTTGTTAATAACACTAATTCATTCACTATTATGGATGCATATAACTGTAGAACCTGATGATGAAGTTATCGAAAAGATAAAGTTCAGCAAAGAATATCCTTTTTCCGTAACTTCAACGCTATACAGTTATATGCAATGTTCTAAAAGGTCATAGAAAAGATGATAAACAAGGTACTTTGACAAGAACCTTATTGCTCAACAAATATGTAGAAGAAAATGCAGATGGATCGGACATACGCTGAGAAGACTGTCGGTTGGGTAATGCCATCACATAACCGGTGGGCCATGAAGTAGAAGCGAATAGAAAACGATGAGTTTGGCGTCTGAGAGATGACATGAAGTAAATAAATTCGCATAAGCAATCGTAGAGCCAGCTAAAATGCCTGAGGAGAAAGAGAGAGAAAGACAGGACAGAGTGAAATGGAGGTGTGTTGCTAAGTTTCCATGTTCCACTCAGAATCCCAAGGAATAACACTGTAATGAAAAAGGTAAACTGCAGTAATATCACAAAATATAAAAATACATGTCAGGAAAAACACCTAATGTTGACTATCGCGTTTCCCAGTAGAACATAGGGCTTCAAGCTAGTGGCTTGAAGTTTCCGTAGCAGTGGTGTCTATTTTCACGGGATGAGGTTGCTAGCCTCACCAGCATTATTTCTGGCTTAGTGAGGTAAAGGAGTGCGTCCAGTGGCCGGGGATCGAGCCCTGGACCATGTGCATGGTCGGCGAGCGTCCTAACCACTATGCCACCGACACTCAGGAATGATTACCATTAAAACATCAAGCGCCTCGAAACAAGAATATTGTTCATTAAGAGTAAAACATCCCGAAGTTTGAAAGGAAAGACGCAGAAGAAAATGTCAGAAAGGCCACGGTAGTCAAAGGGCTCAAACAAACTGTTCCTATGCAGGATTCTCCTTCTGAATAATAGCAACAGCTTCTGCTGTGGAAAGAAGATGTCGCCGGAATCCTTTCGGGTGACCTGGCCGTACCAAGAATTGAGCTATTGATTCATCCAACTTCTCTTCTTGGTAATTATATAAAGAGATGTTCTTGTGCACATCTAGACAGTTTCCCACTGGTACGGTCTATGTACTTAGCTCCCCCTGTGAACTCCCAAGTGAACTGATATATATATATATATATATATGTTCATGGATGTTGCCAAACACTGGAACATTATATGTGATATTTTCATGAATAATATTGATAAAGAATGTGAACTGTTGTCCTGATAAACTGGTTTTCTTTCTTTCTTTTAAGGCGATTGGTGTAATTTATGATATGGCTGAAACACCGGATTCAATTATGTGTTATCTACTACGTTCAGTTGCAGAGAAATTAGTCCAGTTTAAAGCACCAGCCGCCTTGAGCCAAACAAATTCAAATCCATCAAATGAAATGACAACAGATATTGTTATTCCTAATAGTCAACCAACTGATGAAAATAATGTTGAACAAGAGAATATCCCACCGCCGTCGTCAGCACCATCATCATCCCAGGTGAAATCGGATCCAGAATTAGCCAGTTCTGTTGCTGTCAGTGTACCAACATATTTACTGTCTAGATTTCTAGCTCTTATTGGTCAGATCGCACTGAAACAACTTATCTTTTTAGAATCAGCTGTTCTCACTGAATTGAAACGTCGGGCGTCAATTAAAGAGGATAGAGATTCAAAGCATAAATCAAAATCATCACGTAAAAACAATAGACCGTCAAGAGTAAGTTTTCCTTTTCTGTCTTACTAAAACACAAAATTGGTACAATTATCGGCACTAAGAGATACTCTACTATACAGACCGTAATAGGTGGCCACCTCCACCTCCTTCTTTTCCTCCTCTCTAGACTTTTACCTGAAGTTTAACCCACACGACACAGTGGAGTAGCGTCATGGCTTGCATTCGCATTACTTTACGGTGTCCAAAATAAATAAATGCTCCATTGGATCCTTTCGGATTCTGGAGACCATGTATACACCATCGGTTTAGACTCGGGGCTTTCTTAACTCTCTTAACTAGGTGGTAGACCAGCATGTCCACCTGTCTGATTATAAGCGCCAGACATTTGAATTTGCCCTTTCACTTTTTGACTCTAACCTTTCAGATGCTCTACGAGTACGACTTTTATATACAGCAGAAGCAATCGGAATTCATCTAAACAAGCCAAATCTCTGTATTGAAAAGAAATTAGTGCATCCTCTTTCTTTGCAGTAGCCAGCTAGATAATATCTACTAAGTTTTATAAACAATTTCCTCCTCCCCTTGTAAAACTATCTTCTAACTTTGTTATCTCATTATAATTACAATTCTAGCTGATTCAATTAACTTGTTCGTACCGTGGTCTCCTTACGTCATTCTGCGTGGTCATCACTATTTTATAACCTTCTTGGTTATGTAATAGTAATTCGTTGCCAACCCCCTACAAAATTAACTGATCTTCAATTCCGTAATTATTTTCACCCCCTCCCCACACCCCTGAAAACTTGGATATCTTCTTGCTGTCATCTAATTATTCGTTTATTTGTTTTTATTCCTTTACGCTCTCAGTGGAACATAGGGTTTTAAGCTAGAGGCTTAAAGTTTCGGTAGCAGTGGTGTTTATTTTTACGGGATGGGGTTGCTAGCCAACCTCATGCCCAACCTTCCCTCTTTGCCAGTCTTATTACTGCCTTAGCGAGGTAAAGGAGTGCTTCGTCGGCAGAGGATCGAATCCCGAATCATGAGAGGCGTGGTTGACGAACATTCTACCGCTATGCCACCGACGCAGTTATTTGTTTTGGTGATTGTAATCTCTTATTTTAACCACCCACCTATCACCTCCTATACCTAAAACTGATCATTCTTATTGATTAAAATAACCACATGATTGGTACAATTTCTGAATATCAATGGCCAGCCGATCGATAGCTACTTCAATTGACTTCCTGTAGCTGCAGTAGAGAGCTGTGGCCATAAGGGTCCACCATATCAAGGTGCCTTGGATTGTCATCGAAGGCATTGCTTGAGGGTAACACTATATCATGAGTCGACAATGTTAGACATCAAGAGTCATTGAATTCCAGCCCTAGCGGCTGAATGAATAATCGTCAACGTGCTTGGTCTCGTAACCTGAAAGTCCCTAATTCGACGTCTGGTGGTCTACTGCTGAATAGTCCCAAAATAGAATAAAACAGCTGTCAAGTGCTCCCTTGATAGTTTCCAATGATCTCTCTAACTGATGCAGGTTCGTGAAGGAAATCTAAGATTTAATTTTTCTTTGGTATTAATTTTTAACGATGCGCACTTACGGCGACAGGAGAAAGGTCTATCTGGTTGCCATTCTGACAGTGAGTTCAAATCTCATAGCCTATAACTTTTAACTACTGACAGTATTTTCGTTTATACATATATAATAACTATACTATTTATACTTGAATCTTCTTTTATACTTTCCTTGTGAAAGGTGTCAATGACTGAACAATCTGGAAATGCTTCAGGAGCAGGTCAATCAACTGTTGACGAAGAGTGCGGTTTAGTCGGTGTAGCCGCTGATGATACAGAAGCTGAGTATATACGTGAAATATGCGATGAAGAGTTACTCAAATCACCGGATCTTATCCTACATCATATGTTAAATTTTGTCACCTATGTCTGTTCACATCCATCCACATTCTCAGATGAAACTGTCCAAGTAAGTTGCCTTTGTTGTTTTTTTTTTTGTTTTTTTGATCACAACATCTGTGATCTGCTTGATACGAGAAACGGTAATCAAGAAAGCAAGTGTTGGTGGCACAGTGGCTGGGACGCTCACCGACCATGCACATGGTCTGGGGTTCGATCCCCGGCTGACGCACACCTAATATCGATGGTCAGCCTGTTAAATTTGGGCTACCGATATCGCATGCTAAAAACTCCATAGTTGTACCAAAACTACTGTGTGGAATCAAGCTATAATAAAATAAATGCATGGAACTATATACTACTGATTGATTGAATTAAGTAGTTGTATACCACTCACATTAACCAGTACTGCTTACCATCCAGGTGAAAGGGATGTCTCAACACCGGAAGGCGACCAATTTGCTCATTTAGAACTGAACTCATTAGCAGTGTAGCCGGTTACATCACCCCGGCCTCAAATGAGTGAAACGATCGTTCGGTGTTCAAATCACTTGGATGGATCTGGCTAGGAAGCACCACTAGTTGATGTGGGTGGTATATCATGATCTGGATAATTTGACTTCCAAAGGAAAGCGTGGTAAAAATTTCACCCTCTCGAACTCTGTGTATATTGCAAATTACTGACTAATTTGCAAATTCTTAGTGTGATATATGGTTGTGCCGGTTAGCTAGTTAGAAATCGGGTGGCTTGAAATGATTCGGCTTCCTGAGCTCGGTCAAACCAGGTACAGTGCTGATGTCCTCGACCCCAAACGCGAGCGGAACAACTCTTCGGTGTTTAGATCACTTCTATCTGACTGGCTAGCAAGCACTACTGGTTGATCCCGACCGATAGCTGCTACCTTGATGTGGTGGTCGGGCTTGCACATCGCCATGACTCAACAAGCTACACTGGCTGGAACTGTTGTTCCTGCAGGTCCTACCATGCCAGGAAGGTTGTTAGGATAACGGTTAGACTAAAAGCAGATACCCGCATAGTGTAAGAATTTCTTCTTCTTACACTATACTGGGGGTCAGTGGGCTAAGTCGTACTGCTGGGGAACAGGGATATAACAGCAGTAAGGTGTTTCCCTCAGACGACCAGCATACCGGCCACCTATACCGTCTCTCCACTCTAGGGAGAGAGGGGTTAGAAAAGACTGACGCGAAAAACTGTACATCCCGATTTACCCAACGGTGGTCCGTTACCGGTGGTAAATTTGCTAATACGGAACCAATTAGTTCAGCGAAGAGTCTCTTTTCGGCGAATTCATTCACTTAGCTGTACAGTCGCAAATATATATACAATTATTTTGTGTGTGTGTGTGTACATTAGGTTTGTCAAAATCAAAATAACAGTTAGTGTGGGTTGTTGATTATATCATCAAAATAATGAAGAAGTTAAAATGTGTGATTAATAATCAAAGTTGTAACTAAGTGGGGTGAAGATTGTATATATATTGTATATATATTTGCGACTGTACAGCTAAGTGAATGAATTCGCCGAAAAGAGACTCTTCGCTGAACTAATTTGTTCTTATTTCAATGTCTTAGTGGGTATATTTCGCGAATACGGAACCAATCCAAGAAACCAGTTCAGGCAGGCCGTGTATGACTGGCCTCAAGCACTTGCCCCTGAGCTTCCACACTGTGGGCAGCCGGGAAGTGGCAACTGCCCATACACTTCCAAAAGCACACGTAGCCCTCCTGAGCATCGTCCACTACTGAATGATATGAGTAGTATATGACTGCTTACTTCAATCAATCAGTATGTTTTTGCCTGTTTTGAAGAATAAATTTTCTTTACTATGATTATAAATTTGTTTTTTTCCTTTATTTTAGGCATCAGCTAGCCTGGCATTAGCTAAAATGATGCTTGTCAGTGCTGAAGTCTGTGAACCACGTCTTCAGTTATTATTTACAATGGCTGAAAGAAGTCAATCAGAAATAGTAAGAGCTAATCTAATTGTTGCTCTGGGGGATTTATGTCGTCGATTTCCAAATCTTATTGAACCATGGACACCAAATTTGTATGCACGATTACGTGATACCTCAGCTAAAGTTCGTACTAATGCTTTAAATACACTGAGTCATTTAATTTTAAATGATATGGTCAAAGTAAGTAAATTATGCTCACTATATATTATTGATTATTGGCTACATTTTTGGGTGTCATTTTTGATTCATCATTTGGACGTACTCGCATGACATTAGTGGACACGTGTATTTTGAGTCTTCTAATACATGAATAGTCCCCAGACAGACATTATGATGAAAACAAAATCATGTAGTTCAGCGAAGACTCTCTTTCCGGCGGCGAATTTATTCACTTAACTGTACAGTCGCAATTATATATACTTATTTTTGGTGTGTGTGTGTGTGTGTGTACATTAGATTTGTCCGATAAGAATAAAAATTAGGGTTATTGTTTTCACGATATTTCAAGAGTGTGATGAATAATCAAATTGTAACTAGGGGGGATGAAGATTGGTAAGAGGGTAGTGGTGATGTGTTGTCAAAAAACCACAGTTATTAACACGTAAGAGAAGTTGAATAAGCGTAAAACAGTCACGTAAAAAGATGAATAGTTTATTTAATGAGTGAGTTGTGATTAGGATGTACACGGAAACGAAGGAAAATATGAAATTACGTAAGAGTTCTAAAGTTATAAATGCTATAAGGAGTTAAAATAAACAAGCACACCATCATCTCTCTGTCTGTTTTCGACATAGAACTTTGCACTGATGTGCGGCAGTTCAAGTCGCCACACTCCATTTAGCACACAAAGCAAGAGGAGAAATGCTTAATAAAGACAGTAAACAGAGGTGTGAGACAAAAGTATAGTAATAACGAAGAACAAAACAGTTTAATTGGAAATCATAAGTCACAAGGAGTGGATGCATCTGCGCCATTGAGAACGATTTTGAGCCATGTCACCAATTGCCTCCAGCCATTGGTTTTTACCGTCCCGAGGACCCCAACCAGTCAGGTAGTCTACACCTTTCTACGTGGCTTAGACTAACTGTTGTAGATTTCATTGACTGGTGCCATGTTTTCGTTTGACCGCCGCCAGCTCTTTTCCAGCCCGTCGAGGAAGGCGATGACTAGGCATACGTAACACATGTCCTAACCATCTCAGTCGATATAATTTCACAGTCTCATCGACTGATTTCCCCACCATCACCAAGTCAGTAGAAGTCAACACGGTTGTTACCATGATTAGTAGAAGTGGTTGGATGATTTTCTTTTGTATACATTACTCTGGTTTCTCCAACTGAATGATTAAGGCTTCAGCAATATAAAAGAGACGAAAGTGTATTGCCTTTGGTAGGTTATTCTTCACTTTGTAGATTACTTTGAAGGAGGAGGTGTTTGTTGAGATGGAATGACCAGTGTTGTTGACGAGATATTCGATTATTGCACTCCTTATAGAGCCACTCTTACCTTTTTGTAGCCATGCAGCGCTTTTGGAATGGATACGCGTCGACTCTCCATTCTTTCAAAGACAAGCATAAAGAATAGCTTCTATGGAGTGCGAACTCTATGTGTGATCTTGAGACAATCAATGGGTGAAAGCCGTTTATTTAAGAGGAAAATACACATAATGGTAATGAAACATCCCAATTCTTACCTTAACCCTAATACTAATCCCAACCCTAACTCTAACGTGCTATCAACCCATTCATTGTCCAGTCGGTACTTAAGCACAAGATAGGGATGAAATTACCACATCAATTTGTGCACATAGTTGTAATACCGACAGGTTCTATATTCCAAAGAACGACATGTATGCAAGGTCATTATGTGGTGCGTTTCCACTCTGTGGTCACTCTTCTTTAGGTTGACCCTTTCAAACGTGTCCTCAACGTTTACAAATTTTCGGATATTTATCTTGTTTTAGTTGCTACACGATTACTAATGTGCTTGTTATTTCACTATGCGAGCTGATAAGATTAATTGTATGCTTCCATTGGATTATGTACCGACAACAAATCACTTCAATTTGATTAAACTGTTTGAATGATTCTATATTGTAGAGCTGTGAAATATGGTCACTAGACTGTGGATATTGAAGTATTGTATTGGTGGTTTTTGGGGAGTCATAGGTGCCTTCGTTTCACTGTTATTAGTAGTAAAGCTTTATTTCAGACAATATGTGAACGATAATACAGAAATTTTCAGCATATTTAGTTCCAAAATATTTCCTCTGAATACAGGATTTACATGTGTAAGGTAATAATTTGAAGTATATCAGAGGATTTTAGCCGATAAACTTCTGAATATCGAGCTATTGAGGTGGTTATGACATGCGAAACAAGGATTAGGTGGAAAAAGAGCTAGAAGTACTCAAATTAGAGCGTAGCACCAAAGCATCGAAGTCTTTAACTACTAGTCTGAGTCTTGTAGGTAAGATGGTAAGGATTACGTTGTTCTAGGGTGCTAAAAATGCTAAGATTGCTGGTGACATGACTGAAAATCGTTCACAATTACTCATATATATATATATATATATATATATATATATATCCCAGATTAGAGGCATCTTCATTTAATTATAAAGGCTCACTGGCTTAATTGCTTGGCTTTCAGTTAATGGGTGCCAGGTTCGAGTTCATCTCCATCTACTTCAGCCTGGGTAACGGAGCGAGTAATATCATCAGCCCTTAGGCAATAAGTGTGTGTAGCTCATAGTTTGGAAAATGAAAAACTTGTTCCGGGAACTGAATTCAAACAACAAAAGAATAACTTGTTTAAAAACCGAAATGATTTAAAATAAGCGCAAAAGTAGTATAACAGAATTTACCGTCATTACTTGATTCAGTAGAAATGTATTGTAATCAATATAATTAGATCGTTCCTTTGATTCAATGGTGTTTTCAAACAGTGAATCCAAAGTTGAAATTGTATCCCCTCCCCCTTCTTCAGTGTAGCCAGTTTTATAGATTACTGAACTAGTGCTAAACATACCTCACATGATCCTGGGTTCGACTCCCAGCTGACGAACTCCTAAACCTCACTTAGTCAATAGTAAGTCTGGGAAAGAAGGAAGGTCAGACGTGTAAGGCTAGCAACCCCATCCTGTAAAATGAACAACACCACTTCTACTGTAATTTCGAAACTCTAGCTTGAAGCCCTATATTCCATTCAGAACTCAAAAGAATCAAATCTGTACCTGTACAATATTCGTTAATTAAAGTGTTTTTTTCTATTAGATAATTTGTAGTATTCAACCATAAAGCTTTAAATCTTTCACTAGTATTTTCTGTATCTACATTACTTCTTATTGTTGTGATTGGATATTTGACATTGACTACGCTCCAGTTTAACAGTCAGTGTATCCATTACAGTCATCCTACAGAGGGTCAGTCATGATCTTGAATAACTAACGTCTCTTACTACAGCACTGGGCCACACCGGTTTGAATGTCAGAGGGGACGTAGGTTCTCTCAAGTTTGCAGATATGCCTTGCTGTGACGAGTGTTAACAGGCACGAACTCTAGGTCAAGAGCTTCTTGCCATTTCCCTTCAACCATCTGAAGTCTTTCTTACTTATGCAGACAGTACAGATATTTAGCTTTAAAGGCAGTTGGACCCATCACTTTAATATAAATAAGCTCCCATATCGAAAGAATGACTTTTCGTCCAGTGCATAAGGTTGTACTACTGGATTTCTCAGATGCATTGCACTGTACTACAGCTATCCTTTTTGCAGTAGAATCATTACTCCATCGGCCGCTATTCCATGGAAGTTAATACACTTAACGCTGTGTCAAATTTGTTCTTCCATGTTTGATAATACTGCCCTATATGTCTATGTATGTTCCACTCGGGACCGAAGTACAAGTGAATTGCACTGGCTGGGATCCAGTCTCTGGTTAAATCATCTACGTTGGTCTGCAACGATTTGAATAGTAACAGGTTTGAACATGAATTGACATTAGTTAGAGCACCTGGGGGAGTACTAGATAGCTGTTTCGCCCTAGTTTGGGATTCTTCGTCACTGTACTCCCACTGGGGTTCGAACCCCTGGACCTTTCGGTCACAAGGCGAGCGCATAGACTATTCAACCATTGCGACTCGATCCAGTGATCCATGAATTCTAAGCGCTATTTATTCTCTCTCTATACATAGCTCAGTCGCCAGCCAATGTCATAGGTGAATAAATGGTCTCTTATCTAAATTGGTTGACTTCACCGGTTACGACGTCTCACTCCAAGTAACTGCCTGCATAGTGCCAGATTAATTTTCAAGTGTTCGTTTACAGGGTTTTGACTGGTTACACGTTTTATCATGAATTGACATCAGTAAGAGAACCATAGGGAAATCAGGGAGTACTTGACATTGTTTCGTCCTATTTTTGGTCTCTTCACAATACTCAATTCTCAATGAACAACAGAATATCAATGTTATTGTCAAAATTGTTTTGCATATTGTACCTTACCACCACCAAATGGCTAGTTTTCATTTTTTTTTTGTTTTTGTTTCAGATAGAACTTTCATCGACATTCTTATTATCTTTCTTTAGTGATAAACTTTTTCTTGATTAACCAGATACAGTTCGTAACTTTTAAATAACAATCATATTTGTGTAACATTACTCAGAATGTTTGTTTATTTTTTATTTCTGCCTTTCTTTTCCTCTCTCCCCATTCACCCACACTCCATTTTTGTTCTGTTTAGGTTAAAGGTCAAATTAGTGAAATGACTGTTTGTCTAGTAGATGAAATTGAACGTTTGAATATTTTAGCACGTCGATTCTTTCGTGAATTATCACAGAAAGGCAATGCACTATACAATGTTGTACCAGATATTATCAGTCGATTAAGTGATCCTAATATTGGTGTATCAGAAGAGCATTTTCGATCAATTATGGAGTAAGTTTCGTATAAGTAATGCAATTTCTTTTTTAATAATAACTTTATGAATATTGTATAGCCTTAGCATTGGACGGACTATCTAAAACCTACTAATTTGAACACTTTTTTGTGACATAAGTTTATGTTTGAAGTTGTCTCGCGGACAGATGTCAGCTAGAAGATCATTTAAAGCCATCACAGAGTACTGGGCAGTTGTTTTGTCTTAGTTTGGGACTCACCTGGGTTCAAACCCTGGCGGTGGGTCCGTACTGCCGATGAGTCCCAAACTGGGGCGAAACAGCTGGCTGTCCAGTACTCCTTGCTAGTTTTCAATGCTTCTCTAAACGATATCAATCTGTGGTCAAAATTGAAACAATTCAAAGCCCTACAAACTAACTCCTACAAATATAACTAACAGTGAAATATGGTTTATTGACTTTTTGACACTTAACTTTCGATCGATTGTAAATCACCCGCGAAATTTTGAATCCCGTCTAATTCAGCCTTGTCCACTAGGTAGTAATTACTGGCTGATGAAATTAAACTGTTAAGCACCTAAGGAAGGTGTGACACTGCACCAATAATCTTGAGCGTGCCAATCACATGAACAAAAGACTTCTACATATAAAATACATGTATTATTCATGAAAATAATGGATAAAGTGTCATGTGAACTGTTACACAGGCGTCTTTTTTGTTGCGTGACAAAAATAACCAGTTTTGCACTAATTAAACCATATTCTATTTTAACTCGAACCAACCCTAATATATCCATTTTTACGTTAGCTCAACCCTAATCTGTCCTTAGCCTAAGCCTTAACTTAATCTTCCCCTAATCTAATCTAAAACTTACCAGATACTCCGTTCAATATCATATAACACTGCATTAAGCATAATATTTTATTCATAAATATAGTTTTACGAGTTGATCATGGATTGATATCAATTAGAGAACCATTGAAAACCAGGAAGTACTGGATAGCTGTTTCATCCTAGTTTTGGGAATCATCAGCAGTACTCACCCACTGGGGTTCGAACCCAGGACTTTCCGGTTACAGGCAAGCTCGTATACCATTCAGCTACTGGGACCCGATTCAATGGCTCATGAATTCTAACTTCTACCAATTATTATTGTTTTCTTTATTCCCTTATGTTTAAACAGAAACATAAAACTTCAGTAGCACATCTCCATTCCAACCTGTTCTCTGCAATCTTCTGTAACTAGTTCCATGACTGCCTATAAGCTTTCTTCTCCCCCTCCTCCTCCTCAGTCTCTTTAGTATTTGTCCGGCGCATCTCCATTTTCTTCGAAATATTTGTTGGACAAAAGTTTCTTGGTTGATTTCTTCCCAGATTTCTCCGTTGTTCATCTTTACGGAACTGCTGTCTGATCTTCCGTATAAAGCCAGCGAGGGCAGCGCTGTTGGTAAAAGTCTGAAACAGACTGTTGGAAATGCTTTTTGTTATGCGTTAAGTTTCTGAAGCATATTAGAAGGACTGATTGACTGACTTGACATTAATGTTGGAAATCTGAATCTTTTTCTGTATTCTGAGTAGTGCAGTAGATTTCCAGACTGATTTCAGACGAATGAAATCTTAACCTATCTCCCTATCCCCAATCTCTCCCCAAAGTAGTCTTTGGCCAACTCAGTGTCCGGTTCTTATACATCATTCCTGGAATATAGTGTTACTTAACGTGGCTGCACCGCGTTACTCTGTGATTGGGCGTCACAAGGTTATCAGTGCATTCGTTCGTTCGTTTGGGTATCTATTCTTTACCTTCGACATATTGTTGTTGTTCTTTCAAATTTGCTCAAGTTTTGTCCTATATTATCGGCATATATATATATATAATGTTTGATTGTTCTGTTCAATAATTTATATTTTTTAGATTTCTTATTCCTTTAATTGTAAAAGAACGTCTATGCGAAACTTTAGTTGAAAAACTTTGCTCCAGATTTCGAACTACTACGTAAGTCATTGCTGTGTCTTACCTATACGTACATATATTGACTTTTATATTATGGAGATTTTCATAGTTATCGTGAGTGGTCTTGATTTAATTTATCGTATCCTGATGAACGATATTCAACTATAAAATGCCCTTACTCCTCGAGATATGCGTTGGTGGTGGGAATGCTCGCCAACTACCATCCATGTGATCTGGGGTTGGATTCCCTGCCAACCTTGCCAAGCCGGTAGCGGTAGGCTGGGAAACCAGGAGAAGGTTGAGCGTGAGATTACCAACACCTTTCCGCCGTAAAAATAAAATACCACTGCTACTGAAACTCCTAAGCTCAAGTCTGAGCTTATATATATATATATATATATATATATATTACTCCCTTGGTTTCCATGTGGAACATAGGACTTCAGTAACATTTCACTCAGTTTTCTGCAGTTCTCTTCTTTTAGCTGACTCCACTATCGCCTGTAAGCCTTCATCTCCTCCTTCTCCGCCATGTCACCCTCGGATGTCGAACCTGTCGTCTCCCATTCAGGTCCCATTTGAGTGAGAGCCTGGTGCTTAATGTCTCTCAACGGTGTCTCCTTACAAGTAGTAGTAAGTTTAGGATATTGATTATGATGATTGTTGAAGTGTCTGATGATATATACGCGAATCATTTATTTATTTCATACACTATCTTGCGTGATTATTGATTTAAATTACTGAATTCCCCAAGGTCGTTAATATTTTTAAAATGTGACATTGATTTTTCTAATTGTATAAATACGGAGTTGTTGTTTAACATTTTCGACTGTTGTTGAGACAGTAAAAGCTCTCATATCAACGTCCAGTCTTCTCTTTTAATTGTCTTGCGTGCCCGGCGGTATTATTGTTGTTGTTGTTGACGTGCGATTAAGACAGATTAGCCAGCGCATCAGTTAGATTCGCTCGTAGTCTACAAGGTCCTCATATTCACATACATAACAAATTTGGCGACGGGTTTGTTCAAGATGGACTCACGGCGTTTAGAGAAACTAATGGAACAGCAGCTAAAATTGATGGAAATGCTTGCTGGTCTACAGATATCACGCTCTGCCGATTCATCTACAGCCAACGACAGCATTGGTAGCAGCATCTCAGAATTTGTTTATGATCCAGATGCGAACGTCACTTTTGACACTTGGTTTCGCAGATATGAAGACCTATTTCTAGTAGACTTTGCGGATAAAGATGATGCCTGGAAAGTACGGCTTCTACTTCGTAAATTGGGAGCAGATGAGCTGGATAAATATTGCAACTTAATTCTCCCACAGAAGCCCAGCGAAAGATCATTCGATGAAACTGTCCATACCCTTCGTCATCAGTTTGGTGATCAGAGATCGTTATTCAACATTCGATATCATTGCATGAAACTAGTTTTGAACGAAAATGATGATATCCATACTCAGTTGGGTATAGTCAATCGCACGTGTGAACGTTTTAAATTGAAATCACTCTCAGAAGACCAGTTCAAGGTATTGATTTTCATTTGTGGTTTGCAGTCTCCCAAATTTGCTGATATACGCACACGACTATTAAATCGTCTGGAACAAGATCCACGAATGACTTTGAAAGATGTCGGTGAAGAATATCAGCGTTTAATCAACATTCATAACGATACCGCCTTGGTGCAGTCTGGTAGCCAAAATGCAGCAGAAGTGCATGCGGTGCATCCAGTACCGTCGACATCAACCGCACCGCTTCATCCTCAGCATAAACCACCATCAGCCTACGCAAACCATGGTCCCGCCTACATGTGGATTTCGCTGGCCGATAGAAGGTATATACTACTTGGTTCTCGTGGACTCTTACTCAAAGTGGCCGGAGGTAGTACAAGTGACACCACCTTCTAGCAGCAGAACAGTATCCGGTATACCAATCATCGATTCAGAACTATCAATCCAACGGTCAGGCAGAAAGATTTGTCGACACTTTCAAAAAGCGTACAGGGGGAGGGGCGAAACCGGAAGCAATACGAAACTTTCTTTTTGTATACCGAACTACACCACTAGCAGAACAGAAGAAAAGTCCTGCAGAACTTCTAATGGGTCGAATGCTACGAACTCATCACCACTCCATGTTACCATCTTCGTCACATCAACGAAGAAATAGTCTGAAGTATTACCGCAAGGGTGATGCCGTCTATGTGCGCGATTATCGACCGAGGAACAGAAAATGGGCCGAAGGCTTGATAGAACGTCGACATGGAACTCTAATGTACAAGGTTAAAGTTGGGGATGAATGGTGGATTAGACATAAAAATCAGATACGACGTCGATATACTACATCCCAAGAACCTAAATTGCCACTGGAATTACTACTGGAAACCTTCAAAATACCACCAGTCAAACCAGAAGCAAAACAAGAGATGCTACCCAGCCGACGATCCCAGCGCAAACGAACACAAACAGTTCCTTTCCAAATCGACCCCAAGGAAAAAAGATACTAAACTGATTGCAAGATTCTTTTTAAAAGGGGGAGGTAATATATACGCAGGGGAATCATTAATATTCATTATTTATTTCATACACTAGCATAATCATTGATTTCACGCATCTGCGTGATTATTGATTTAAATTACTGAATTCCCAAGGTCGTTAATATTACATTTTCGACTGTTGTTGAGACAGTAAAAGCTCTCATATCAACGTCCAGTCTTCTCTTTTAATTGTCTTGCGTGCCCGGCGGTATTATTGTTGTTGTTGTTGACGTGCGATTAAGACAGATTAGCCAGCGCATCAGTTAGATTCGCTCGTAGTCTACAAGTTCCTCATATTCACATACATAACAATCTGATGCACACTAAGTAAAGCTAGACCAAAGTTTAGATAAGTATTCCAGAAACATGAGTAGTTGCCTTGTACTCATCACTGCTATCGACAGTTGATTGCGGTTCCTTGAATTCAATGCAGGTTATAATCTTCATGAAACAATCTCGGTGACCTGACTTGCATATATATATATATATATATATATATATATATTATCCATTCACCTCCGTGTCTGGATGCAGCTAGCACTATGATATTTGTTGAATATAGTTGATTTAGGTTACTGAGTTGATGGCATAATTTGTTTTTAGTTGCTTGTTCACGCCGTCTCTGGCGTAGATGTGATATCCCGCTGTCGACCAAAGGGCGTGTGTACTGCTCAGCAGTTCGCTCCGTTCTCCTTTACGGCTGTGAGACCTGGCCATTGAAAGTAGGAACATGAAAAGGCTAGCTGTCTTTCATCATAGGTGTCTGCGTTGTATCTCCCTTGTTAAGTGGCATAATTGGATGAGCAATATTGAGGTTAGGCATCGGTCGAGTGCTAGGTAAGGAAGGGAAATCAATCGATGGGGCTGTGAAGCTACATCGACTGAGATGGTTAGGACATGTGTTATGTATGCCTGCTAGTCATCGCCTTCCTCAACAATGGGCAATGTTAGGTACTGACATAGGATGGATCAGGTCAGGAAAGAGCCAGTGGTGGTCAAATCAAAACATAGCTTCATCAGCCAATGAAATCCACAACAGTTAGTTTAAGCCAACTGCGTAAGGAGATGTAGTCTTCCTGGTTGGGGTCCTCAGGACGGTAAGAAGCAGTGGCTGGAGACAATTGGTGATATGGCTGGCTCAAAATCGTTCTCAATGGCTGGCGCAGATGCATCCACTCCTTGTGACTTATAATATCCAATAAAACTATATTGTTCTTCGATATTACTATTCTTTTTGCCTCATATCTCTGTTTACTGTCTCTATTTTGCATTTCTTCTTACTTTCTTCTCTTGCTTTGTGTGCTGAGTGGAGTGTGGCGACTTGAACTGCTGCACACCGGTGCAAAGTTCTATGTCGAAACCAGTCAGTCAGTTTTTAGTTGCATTCACGAGGCCATATCCGTCTATGTGGGTGAGTAGACAGAGATTATAATGAAACGACCATGTCTCTGGTCAGTTACTTAATGTTGTAATTCAACCGTCTGTACTAACACAGCATTTAGATAACACTACTGATAAGAATATCCAACCGACTGGTTTTTCTTCCACTACATTCTTAATGGAACATGCGGCTGCAAACTTTTGAAGTTCTAGTAGGAGTAGCGTTGTTTTTTACTCCCAATCGTCCCTCTTCTTTTTCCCGGCTTCACCATCGCCTGCTAGTGTATACACTAGGCACAAGGTTTATGAATGTGTCGGCCAATGTTGAATTGAACCTAGACTGCATACAATTTGGACCACCATTACTAATGCACCAATCCAATCGATGAAATAACAACACACTTCTCTGTGTGTGCGTTTGTGTTCTCTCTTTCAGATTAGAACGTCAATGGCGTGATTTGGCGTTTTGTTTAAATGTTATGCCGTTCAGTGAACGAATGATGAAAGTGTTATATGAAAATCTACCTGCTTTTGCCGATAAGCTATGCATTACTGAAGTGTATGCTGCATTCGAGTGTATAATAACGAATGTGAAAAAATTAATTAAACCAGATGCAATGGCTACACTAGAAGAATTTGAAGCTAAAATAAAAGAAGTAAGTCCATTGATGAATCCTAACATATCTCTCTCTATTCATGACAGCTTAATAGTGCGAAAGAAATCTGGAACAATAATCTGAACGATTATTCAAACCACACGTCGAGTGATGCGTAAAATCCAAAAAACACTGGATTTTTCTAGAACATGGTATTATATCAAACATAAAATAGTGAAATATAATATAAAATCCTCAAATTGTGACGTGGTGTCTGTGACTGAATGCTGTCAAAAGCACAGACAGTATGCGTCCATAAGTAGAACAGCAAAACTGTATCAAAAAGCGACCCACGCGTAGATTTAAACAGTGCGCGAATGCCAGACAGAATAAAACGATACGAATAAACAATATTCAGCAGTAAATGATACATAAATAAGGCATATACAAAAGAGGATCATGTGCAACCATTTGTAAATGTATACTATACATCAAATCGAGTATGAATGCATTAATTGAGGTAAACTTCGCCAGCAATGTCATGCTTAAGAAATAACAAATAATAATCCATACTACTCACTAGGGGGATAAGTAGTATAAAGTTGAACACAAAAGAAAGAACAGCAGAGGATAAATAGGAAAGGATATTAACATGTACCTTGTTTAATTTCATTTCGATATAAATCTTTATTCTACTAAATTTGTTTCACTTTTTTGTTTTCTTCTCTTCACACGTACTTTTCAAGTTCCATGATAAAGGTGTTGCTGATGAGGCAGCAGTTCGAAGAGCAGAAGTTGCTGCAAAATCGCTTAAACAACGTTCATCACGTAATACTCGTGTATCTACAAATTCAGCTACTGGTGGAAAGAATGAAATGATACGCAGAAATTTACGACGTGCTGCAACTAATCGAATAGCTAGTACTTCTAATATACCAAGTGGTGATGAAGATGTTGATCTCGAAGAGAACTCACCACCAACTACAGCAACTCGTGCAAAAAGTGCTCGTACCACGCGTACCCGCACTAAGCTTATCTTCAGTTCAGATGAAGAAGAGTTAGATGATGAATGAAGTAGTGAATGTGTTCAGCTAGAGTAGTCATCTTGCACATTATTGGCAGTCGTATTGTATTATAGGTGTCAAATCAAGAGTTGACCGGTGTTTTTTTATATGTTCGCCCCTAGATGTATTTATATTATTTTTTATCAATACTGAGATTTATTTATCTTCACGGCTGTTGTAAATTTGTTTTATGCATGTATATAAAATGTTGATGTCAATCTGCTGTAATAAAATCTTCGTTAACTAGATTTGAAATTATCTTTTAAACTTGTTATAACTGCTACCTGGAGATAGAATTTTCGACCTCGAGTATGCAGATGATATCGTCTTACTGTGCGATAGCATGCAGGCTGCTCAAATCTCACTTAATCAGTTGGCGATCAGTGTCTGTAAGTATGGTATGTGCTTTGCGCCGTCTAAGTGCAAAGTACTGTTACAAGATTGGCAGGAGCCTGTACCTGCACTCACTCTTGCTGGTGAACCGCTTGAAGTTGTCTGTAAGTTTGTGTATCTGGGTAGTTGTGTGAGTGCTGGCGGAGGGGTAACGGATGAGATTTCCAACCGTTTAATGAAGGCTAGGGTGGCGTACATCAACTTGAGCCACCTCTGGCGCCGTTGCGACGTTAGCCTGGCTGTCAAAGGTCGGGTATACAATGCTTCGGTGCGGGCTGTCTTGCTCTACGCCTGTGAAACCTGGCCTCTCCGAGCTGAGGATGTGCGGCGACTCTGCGTGTTCGATCATCGCTGTCTCCGCAGTCCTTGGTTCGATGGCATCAGCTGAGTAATTCTGAGGTTCGGGGGTGTGTTTGAACACATGGAATCACCATTTGTTGAGTCGTCATCTGGAAACACCGGCTCCGGTGGCTTGATGTCTGCGAATTCACCCAAGGCTTCCGTACAGGTTCTGTTCGTACCTGGAGGATGGAAAGCGGAGGGGGAGGTGGAGATTTTTAGTGACCAATATTTTTTTATTTTTTTTTTTTTTTTTTCTTGGTGCCATATTGTACCAACTTTTTTTGCGTTTAAATAAATAAATAATAATGTTATGACTACCGGTTGTAATAATTGCGCTAGGCGCTAGCAAGCCAGCTATTCTGTCTTCTCTCTCCACCGACTTAGAGGGAGAAAACATCATCCCAAAAATACCATATCTCAACTTTTCATATGATGGTTGGTTTTCCGTAGGGACAAAACTTTGATTTGAAACAGGCCGTGCATGAATGGTATCGAACAATTTTCTTTGAATCCAACAGTCACGTGAGACTAGTCTCCCTTCATGTATTCTGAAGGGTGCAGAGTATCAGCCATCTACACGTCTCTCACAACATACAAGGTCCGCCTTTTAATGGTTACCTATCCCCTTCATCTTTTTACTATCCTCACTTTCCACTATTCTATGTACAGTGTCTTCACCTTCTCTCGACTCTGTAAGGATTAATCCAGGGAAATATTATTCATAGTCTTTTGAAAAGACGATCCAGAGTTCACCCTGAGGATTTCAACGTCCAAATATTAAGGTAAGCAGGATGGTATTGTAGACCTTGCATGTAGGATGCGTTACTAAGCCAGTCATACAAGACCCAAATGTAGTTATTCACCTAAGCTATAACCGATATGACGAGTCTACGAAATTCTATGCGCTTCTTTGACTGGTTGTTTGGATGTCTTTTAAGCATAGGGTTAACATTAAGCTTTAGAGCAGGGAACTCATTATCCAGTAAGTCGGTTTCTTTTGGGGAAGTAGTTTGTATACTCTCCGGTTGAATAGGTCTGTAAGAATAAAGACTCCACTTGTACATACACTGACTGTAATTCAGACGAAGTAAGAGATGTAATTTATGCGAAGTCTTCTAGTTTGTTGCTAAAATAAAAGCTCCAAGACTTGTTGAAACTAGTAATTGATTATAATTAAGGAAAACCCGTATTGGGGCTACCTACGGTTTTACATTCTCACAAACCCTGTTCCTCTCCTGCGATGTAGCTCACATGTTCATAACTGGCACAGTTTTCAAACAAGAGAAGACTTTGTAACACTTGGTGACTTCTGGAGTCGAGCTAATGAATAAAAAAGACCAGTGGGAGATTGTCGTGTGTGCTAGAACACTTGCATAAGCTTCTGTCATGCATGCACTTATGTGTCTGCAGCTGAATGAACTTAAAATACACGCAGCAATGAAGATATTATGTGTATAGCAGCTGTCTGATGAAAACACAAAGTCTATATTAAGGTAGAAGTTAGCTCAAAATTTATCGGAGCATGACAAAAATACTCATCCTAAAGAGGCTTGATGTTGCATCTGTTCTATTTTAGAAACAGCTTTAATGATGGTTGATAGCCCACCCTCAAAACTTTTTTTTAAAAAACAGTATAATTCTGTGCTTTTAATCGAACTGCTTAATGCAAAGAGACGAGAAGTGATGAGCTGTTTAAGCTTGTATTGAATAAAAATTATTGTAATGACCGCAAGCAATGGCGTGTGACGTAAACAAAGGAAGTGGGATAAGGGTTGTCATTTGATAATACCCATCAATCTTTTTATCTCTAGTGAGAGATATCTTAAGTAAGAATGATACATGAAACGATCTCTGTGGAGGAATAACGATCGGAACTTTAATCAGAACTCTGAAATGCAGTCCGGCTAGACAATAATTATCAGCAGTTCAGCCCTAAACTGAATGGGATATAAACAACGTTCCTCCAGCTATAACTTAGGTTTTAGTAAGTGTCTGCAATTTAAAAAGAGACAGAATCTGAGTGTCTAACTTTCGAGATGTTTAAGGGTTGTGGTCAATCACTGACTGGAGTACGTTAGATTATAAATGGTCTGTGGGAATCCTTTTGTACTCAAAAGGAAAGGAACAAATTTTCTAATGGTAACTAGATGGATGGATCATCTTCACCAGTGTTATATCTAACATCCTATGTCAATATAAAGGAGAAATGGGGCTTGGCAAAGACGTGGGTAAAATCCATGCTGGTGTCATATGTGTTACCAAGAAGCATAGGTACATGTGTGCCTATTTCTCCTGATACTTCGTGCATTCCTTGACCTGAAGGCGGAATTCAACTGTGTCGGTGGATAGGTGTTCTGGCGATGCATAATTGTAAACGGTGCGTCGAGAAGGTATCTCATACTAATCGGAGAACTCTATTTGTAATCACTCAGTCGTGTATAAGCGTATGGGGAACTGTTATCTGAAATGATGACAAGGAGTGTTGTTCGAAGTGCAATCTCACTATCATTTCATTTTACTACAAACGTATTAACTGATGTAACTCTGGCTGATGCTGGAGTCTTATAAGTTGACTAACTACCATGTAGTGGGGTTGTTTGGCTTGGAGTACTCGGATTATAGACCACTTCATTCATTTGAGAAGTTCCAAAATCCCTAACTGAATGAATGTTGAGAAAATCTCAACACAGAATTTCACATAAAGAAGCATAGCTTCAAACTGACACAAAAAGTTACATAAATAGGAAGATATGAAATTGCAATAGACGAGGGGCGCTGGGAGAAAAAACAAGAGGAGGCTTTTCAGACGAGGACAAAGAACAAATGCAGCTGCGCCTGAGTGATCTATTTTAAGAAATATCAATAACTAGTGGTTCCAAATATACAGCGTACACTGTCGTACTTGTCTCAAACGAACATTCGATCATATGGTTTGGTCTGATCACCCCATAATCTTTTCAAACCTAATACTACTTATTCTAATGTTCTCTGTCAAGAGAAGCAGTTGTTTGCAATCCATACGGAGTCTTGTAGCAAGGTATAATCATATTAGGGTTTCTTACCCAGGTCGATGTAGGAACTATATTTATTTCATTCACATTCCGATCAGAAAGAAACATACTGAAATTAAATTATGACAGCTGACAATATACTCAGGTCTGTATTTTAGATGATAATCCGGTCCAAATGGGAATAGAAAGTAATTCCCTTCGATAGGGTGTTTTCCTCTAGTGGCACATAGGTTTAATTTGATGCGCCTGAGAATTCCACACTATATCAAAAATATTGTTTGGAATAAAGTTATTATTACTAATATTGTTATTATTAAACCTGTACATGGTTTGATTTTAAGCCGTTAAGCAAATCAGAACTATTATATGTTGATAAGAGTCAAGTGTTAACTACCTCACCTGAATAGTAAGCATTTGTAGGTGTAGCCACTGTTTGGTTCGGCTACTACATTTTCCAGAATGTTATCAAGTCATATATGTGACCCTATGCAGATTTGTGAATAGAGACCGGTAATTTATACCTAATAAGATCCTATGCATAATAAATAAAACTAGAAACATCAATATTACGTTTGTTTTTTACAAAATGAAATAATGGTCATTAGAAAATAAGACCTATTGTATTCAGCGAAAATACCCTTTGAGTCATAATGAAAATATAAAAGACAATTCAGCGAAGAAAATTTTCTCTATAGACGAAATTATCTTCAGAGGCTGTACAGTCGTATTTATATGTACCAAAAATATATAGTAGTCTATCATTGAGTAATAAGGGGTGACATAATTGATATAATTACTCAGAAGTGGCTTTAGAAGTAAAAATAAAAGTTTTAAATTGCGTAATACTCACTGCCACAAAGGAAGAAAGCGTTAGAAATTTAATAAAGTTAAAATTCTTATTGAGTGAGAGCTAGTTATTGGGACCTAGTTATATTGGACGCACAAAGCACACACTTTCTAAATGCATCTCTGAACATTATCCGGCATGGTTAGCGAAAGGACATTGCAAGACAATTACTAGTTCAATTCTCGAGCACTTGGTGAACTCAGGCCACGCAGCCCACCAGAGTCGTCTTTCAAGATCATTTAAAAGGTGAAGCCAAATGGCACAAAGGGCGTCAGGTTTCGGCTTTTGTGTATGGCGGAGGCGCTGGCAATTCGTCAATACAACCCCGAACTTTGTATACAGAAAAAGTTTGTCCAGTCTCTTATTCTACCTTGGTCTTAACCTCTTCACTAATCGTCCCCTGTAAAAAGTTATATTTTTGTATCTTCTAATTTTACTTTTCGTTTGCTTTTGCTTTAATAATTAATTCACTATCACTCTCATATGCTCCTTTTGTACATTTTCTCACCCTCTTCACACTTGTTAAATTAACACTCCGCAACCTTTCTTCTCACTCAATAAGAATTTTAACTTTATTAAATTTCTAACACTTTCTTCCTTTGTGGCAGTGAGTATATTACGCAATTTAAAACTTTTATTTCTACTTCTAAAGCCACTTCTGAGTAATTATATCAATTATTTCACCCCTTATTACTCAATGATAGAC